ATTATTGAGATGTGCATTGTCGGACAATTTTATGCATGTTTAAACCTACGCCTAGAAGTTGAAGAAGAAAACATACAAAATTCTAATTTTGTCATCCTTAGGTATAAATACTAGTCGTAATTTTTTTGCTGTGTTATACAAAAGTTTGTCGTACGATAAATTGTCTCCAAGATTTCAAAATAGGTACCGTGACAAAGTTGCATACAGTAGAGTCCTGCTAATCCAAACATGATTCAGTCGGTGGAGAGGAAATTTTTTAGCTTGCAAAATATTTTTTTTTTGTACTTTCCAGTTGAATTTAAATGGTATTAATGGTACAAAAAGATTTAGAATTCCACAACAACAAAAAAATTGTATTTTATTGTAGTACTGTATTAATACTATACAAAATTAATAAATCAATGTTTGACTTGGCCTATTAAAACAGCATATCTATACAGTACTTACACACAAAAACAGAAACAAAAGTCATTGATGATATTGGATTTATATAAACCCGACCTATTTTACTGCTTGCTTCTGCATTATTTCAATTATTCGGCTAATCTGAACAGGGCTCAGTCCCAATTAGTTTGGACTCTTCTGTATTTGAAATCTGCTATAATTTTAAATTTTTAATAAAAACAGATTATTTCACGAGTCAACTAACTGTGTATACAGGGTAGCCTAAAAATAATAAAAACACATTCTAAACTCAGGTTATCTTTCAAAGTTTCTGGAAGTGGTTAAACACTTATTCATAGAATATCATCATCATAAACAGAAATATCAATAATATACACTGCAAGTCTGCTGTAGCTGCTATATTGCTTAGTATATATCATAACTCCACAGGCACATCAACAGTTTGCATCATCCAGGCACCATTACGGCAAAATTGTCTACATTGTGACTACACATGCATAAAATCACAAGTTGTTACATTAATTTTCTTAGCCATAAAGAAGAAAAAAAAGAGAAAAAAACTTGTGAAAGAGAGTTTTATTTTGACCTATACAGAGACAATTCAAGTAAAACTATTTGCAACCGAAACGAGCTACGGAGATAATTCAATCTTAACAACACTGCAGTTGAAAGTAGTAACTTATATCATTGTGTTTAACATTATAAATAGCCAATTATAATTATTGGAGACAGCCTGTGAGAGTCAAATGAAAGGACCTGACACGTCTAACGTAATGAGTCTGAAATATGTAATGTACACAAGTACATTTGGTAATTGGTTTATACAAGTGTAGTCTCAAAACTTTTTGAAACAACTTAACTATGACAGTCTAATGAAACTAGTATATAATATTATCAGTAAGTTTATTGATACCATGTCTCTAGTTTAATAAAATATATTAAAAATTTCATTACTGTTTTCTGCTGTTTACTTGAAGCTTGTTCATCTGTCTGAACTATTACTACTATTTACTAAAACAAAATTAATTTTACTATTTCTAATATGCAAAATTAAACAGGACCTCAAAAGATGTACTGGTAATAGTAGAAAGTCTAAAACTGGTGCCAGAGAAGCATCAACCCAATTCTAGAATCCTCTGAAAAAATTTAGGCATGACTGTTGTACCCACTTCCACTTTGTCTGTATCATCAAATTGTTGTCCCCAAAGATTGACTTCCACCTGTTTGGTCCAATGAAGGACAGAGGGCACCAGATCTGGCACCCTCTGATTTCAACATGTTCAGTCCAGTGAAGGAAATCTTTGGGGACAACAGTTTGATGGAATAGACAAGGGGAAAGGCTGTGAAAAAGTGGGTACAACAGTGTACACCTAACTTTTTCAAAGAAAATTCCAGAATTGGGTTCAACAATGGCACAAATGCATCACTTGTAATGGAGACTATCATTCAACCCAATTCTAGAATCCTCTGAAAAAATTTAGGCATGACTATTGTACCCACTTCCACTTTGTCTGTATCATCAAATTGTTGTCCCCAAAGATTGACTTCCACCTGTTTGGTCCAATGAACGACAGAGGGCACCAGATCTGGCACCCTCTGATTTCAACATGTTCAGTCCAGTGAAGGAAATCTTTGGGGACAACAGTTTGATGGAATAGACAAGGGGAAAGGCTGTGAAAAAGTGGGTACAACAGTGTACACCTAACTTTTTCAAAGAAAATTCCAGAATTGGGTTCAACAATGGCACAAATGCATCACTTGTAATGGAGACTATCATTCAACCCAATTCTAGAATCCTCTGAAAAAATTTAGGCATGACTATTGTACCCACTTCCACTTTGTCTGTATCATCAAATTGTTGTCCCCAAAGATTGACTTCCACCTGTTTGGTCCAATGAACGACAGAGGGCACCAGATCTGGCACCCTCTGATTTCAACATGTTCAGTCCAGTGAAGGAAATCTTTGGGGACAACAGTTTGATGATACACACAAAGTGAAAGTGGGTGTGAAAAAGTGGTTATGACAGTGTACACCTTAATTTTTTCAGAGAGGATTCTAGAGTTGGGTTCAATGATGGTTCAAATGCATTACTTTTTAATGGAGATTGCATTGAGTAGTAACTTTGCATAGAGAGAGAGTTACTTTACAAACAAGCACTATTTGAATTTTGAACTATGTCAGTAAATAAAAAAAGTTATGTTCAGTTTTGCATTATTTTTGGTAGAGCTCTTGCATAGTAATCTGTTTTTTTATATCATAATTCACTATTTAAAAAATTTGTAAATGTGTTAGCATCATAAAATGATACAAAAGAAGTATAATTTACACTATTCTATATTTTGAAAAATATTTTGGTTTCATTTCATTGTGATATATTGCATTTCAAAGAAAATCTGATAATATTACATAGAGAATCTGTATTAATTATAAAGCATAAAAGTTAAAGTTTTGAATGTGAAATTAAAAAGTTATTTTTTAAAAATCATCTTTTCATTGTTTAATTTTGTAGATTAATTTACATGAAAGATTACCGGTGCAGGTGGATGGAGAGCCGTGGGAACAATTTCCTTCATCTATAATCATCACACACTTGAAACAGGTCACTATGCTCTATAATTATTCACAGGAATAAAATTCAGACATTAAATTTTTGTTTGTTTTTAAATTGCTCTTTAATTTCCTATTTATCTTTTTTTTTGTTTAATCTTTCCGCCCTGTGGGCACTAAGAGGGCCTCTTATAGCAGGCCCATTATGGGTTCGGCCAGGCCCACAATGGGGTGACCGGGTGGTGAGGGACGGGATCCGACATATCCGAACGGACCACCCCCGAAAAATTACTGGGGATTCTGTGACCCGTCTGAATTCGATCCTGGGTCCCCCAGAGCAGTGGGTGGCCACCTTGGCCGCTCGGCCATCAGGCCATCCGTAATTAATTATTAACACAATAAATTATTAACACTAATCGGCCGATTAATCGGTATCGGCCGATAATGCGTGACCGATTAATCGGTAATCGGTCATTTCGCATATCGATGCATCCTTAATACAGGTATTTCTCGACTCTTGAACAATTGTAAACTCTCTCTCGCAATTGCTAGGTAGATAGGTTAAGTTGATATATCATACCAAGAAAGCAAATTATTTTTATCATCAAAAATACTTTTTTTAATAAAGGCTATCTTATTTAAATTGTTATAGGAATTTCAAAAGAATAAAGAATTTAAAATTAACAAACAAAAACCTTATCAAATTATCATCTATAGTATACTGCATTAAGTTATATATTAATGTAAGAAAATTTCTTAGTGAATCAGATAAATAGTAAAGAGGGAAAAGGTAGAATTAAGATTCTGTATTTGAAGTTTTTAAGATCGAAAATATTTGATATTTTTGGAAAATATAACTGGATCATAATCAGCTGAGATTCCATCAAGTTATTAAATATAATTGTATATTTAACAACAGTTAAACAAAGAGTTTTCTTTGAGAGGAAAATTTAACATTACACAACAAGTTCTTTCCATACTTATTCCATGTACCAATTTTGGCATTAGAAATTCTTTATAAAATTCTCTTCAGATTTAGCATATCTGCTTTTACATTCTAGCTTTAATATTATTATTAAAGCTAGACTGTAAAATTGTTATATATTTCTATATTTTGTTCATTAATTAATACAATTTAATCAGTGAACAAGAAAGTAAAAGAACTGAAATTGCATACAGAAGCAAGCTCTTCAAAAATATTAACCTGATAGAAAACTATCTGTAATAGAAATTTACATGAAGTATAAAATTTGGAATTAACGCTAAGAGAAATAATTTAAAATTTAAATATTACTTGGAATAGTTGGCTAATTAAAATGTTAAATCAGAAAAATTGCAGCTGTCCTGCATATCAGTTAATTTAATGATAAATACCCAAATATAAAAATTTGGGTGATTTAATAGCTTTTAAAATGATTTTTTTTTAATATTGTAATTTTTTAGGCTGGTGAAATAATGAAAAAGCATTTCCTCTAAGTAAAAAAATCAAAAATATATATTCTATATTAGAACAATTAATGCTGAATTCATGGGAAAAAATATTTTTCTATGAATTCGGTATTAATTATCCTACTTCCTATCTACACTGTTTTTCTTCTTCTTTGACAGGAAAAAGCAAATTTATGAATGAATGAAATCTAAAAATAAAATAATTTAATATGCCATGAATGAAACCTTTCATAATTTAAATTTAAATCTAAAAAATTCCTAAATATCTGGCAACCAATAATCAAGCAAGTTGTTTCTGGAAGTGACGAAAAAACAGATAAATATTGCATCACTAAGTACAGTAGAGTCCCGTACAACGCGGGGGATTTGTTATGCATTACAGGAAATTGCGTTATCAAAATTTGCATTATCACATGATTTGTGAAAGTTTAAACATTAAAGTTTAACCTTATAAGTTGAAAAAAAAATTTGTATACCTCTGATCGACAAAATTTGAGGGTGTTGTTTGCTTTATTTATGCATTATACGGGACTCTACTGTAGTTTTGACCGTATGATTTTTATTATATTCATTAACATTATTAACTTTAAAAATATACGTACGAGTTACATTTGGAGTAAACATTTCTATTACAAAATTATCCGTCCCTTGATTATGTTGTAATATTTTTCCTTCCTAATAACAAACAAGTATAGAAAATTATATTTTATATTTCAGATATGTGAATTAAGATAAATTTTATAAAACAAATTTATATAAATTAAAAATAAACAAAAATATCTACTTTATAACTTGATATTTCTGGACAATACGATGAAGACAGTTCTAAAACCTAAAAATTAATTTAAAGTAATTAAATAATCAAGTTAAATATGGTATTATACTTATTTAAACTAATTTTAATTTAAAATTAATATAAATCAAAGATCAACATTTTTTTTTTCTGATCGACTTAAAGTATTAAATAGGATGTTAGATTATCAATATCTAAATAAACCAAATATTTAACCGTCTTTTGCAAATTACAGAAAATCTGTGTGACTTACATTAATCATTTATTAGCTGTTACATTAAGATAAAAAATTTTTACTTTTATTTTAATTTTTTGCTTTTACTGTTAATATTTATATTTGTTTACTCAAGTTGTTTATATGAAATTTGTTATACAAACGCTCAGCATAATATCTCTACATATGCTGTGTTTACTGTAATTTAATAAATATAATAATAATAAAGAATAAAATTTTTGTACTAATTTATGCATTATTTTTATCTATTTTATTTATCATATACTCCTTACAGAAAATCTCCCCTAGGAGGAGGGGGTTAATAGAGCTAATGGATTTTACAATAAAGTTATATTTTTTTCCAAATTGTTTCATCTGTATTAGAAAACAATTCATCTATCTTGTCAACCAAGAAATTACAAACAGTGATACAATCATCAGTTGGATAAGATACAAATTTTTCACAATTTATAAATAATGATTCAAAGCTGCATTGCCCCGTGTATAATAAAGACACTTATCTGAAGAATTTACATTTACATTGAAATTTGTCCACATTAAGTGAAACTTATTTAAATGCACCTAAACAATCATTTTCTTTACAACATAAGGTAATTGATGATGATAAACAAAAAACCCCTGACAGTTGTCCAATATTTCTGTGTATCAGGTGAAATTTTGCATTGGCTATCTTTTCCTTCTCCTCTCCAGCAAAAAAATTGTAAAATCTAATATAATTGTGTTGCTATAATATTTTATGGTCTCTGAAGATGAATCAATTAAAGTTAAGGAAAAGCCAATTCGGTATACCAACTATTTTTTGGAAATCTGTTCTTTGACAGTCATTTTAAAACTAAATATGCTGCAAACTCGAGATGAAGGGTCAGAAACAATATTTGACAGAAATTTAAGTATAAGTTTGATAAAACATTTACAAGGAAATTCCAAACCCAATTCAGATCTGATAGTGTACATCAATGTCTATCTCTCAAGACAAAAAAAGGCAACAAAAGAATGAGAATTCAATCAAATCAAACTTGTCAAAACAAAAAGGTCCTCATAAAGATAAACACTATGACCAACCAACATAAATAGAGAAGCAGCTATTCTTTTAAAAAGTGGCATGTGGCTATTTCTCATCTTTCTTAAAATATCAATCATTACTTTTGCCTTAGAGAAAGCTTTACAGTTTACAAAAAAAAACATAAATGACAAAAGGACCTGATACTGATAAATGAATACCCAGGTATACCACTTTGTTTACAATGTTAATCTCTTTACTGTTTATAAAAAATTGTATCTGATTTTGCTTAGCCACCCTCTCTGTCCCTGATGACTTAAGGAAGTTAATCCTTAAACCCAAAGAAAATAAGTATTGATATACTATATCTAACTTCCTTGAAAGTAGACCAGTGTAGTCTACAACAAAACTGTATCATCTGTAAACTAAAGCAGTTGTACAGTACATCAAAACCACTCAAAGTAATGGCTTAATCTCTTAAATCATCAAAAGCCTGCATCATGTTGTTTATATAAGTGAGAATCCAGGATTGTTGTTTTTTATATAAAATGTTATTTGTATCTGTATTAATATTTGTAAAAAAGTTAAACAAACCAAAAGATTGCAAATTTCAACAAGGAAGTTCATGAGATCTTATCTTTGACTTTGTTTCCATCTAAAACAAGACATCTTCCTTTGAATGCAACTCATGTTACTCCAAGGAAGTGTGGTTATATTGTTGAATTGGACAATTGATAGGAACCACATTGAGATGATTAAATTTGGTTAGACATCGATGTATCTGATGAAAGGACAGGTAAATTGCACTTTAAACCTATTGTCCAGTGTCGGTAATATAAACTTTATGAACATTTTTGGGCTCTTCCTGAGTTCTGCTTCAGGTAAAGCCTGAAAACGTTCATGAAGTTTTTTATATTACTGACACTGGTTTAATTAATTAATTAAAGTGCAATTTATTTGTCATTTGGTGTAAGTGCTCTTTTTTGAAAGGAAAGATATAAAAGAAGAGGCAACATTTAAACTGTCACTGCTGCCTTGATTAAAACCTCATAAAAGTCTCTCTCAGAGCCACCTCAACATTCCACAGAATTATATTTGAGTTTACCCTCCAAGAACTTTCCATTGTACAGATGAGATTAAGTCAACTTTTGATCTAAGACATAGATACTACAATTCAAGTGTCAAGTCAGACGATCAATATAAATTTTTACCTTGCCAGGTGCAAGTATTTATGAATTAATTGTGAACTCTTTGTACATAGAGATGAATGTATATTGATAGATTTGTTAGTTATTTGTTTATGTTTGTTATTGTATTCTTAGCTTAAATAAATGTTTTTTATTATTAAACTCACAATTTGAATGGGTGGTTTGTCTCTCTAATTCTGCTTACCCAAGTCCTGTATGAGACTGCTTGCACTCGAAAAATATTTCCTATGGGCCAGAATTCACAGACAGTGTCATAACATCCTCACCTTGATAAATCTAGACTATTTCACCTGTCACCCATAACAAACAAACAATAAAAGACTAAGGGTATCACTTTGTGGGAGACCCTTTTCTAATGTAAAACCAGCGCTTTTTGTCATAGAACGCAATGGAACGGTGTTTCACCACCTTTTTTCGATATATTTTAAAACTTTTAAGAGAATTTTTGAAAATTTGATGTTTGATCCACATTGAATCACTCTGTTGAGCATAGAAGATTGGCAATAAAATTATTAAGATGGTCCTTCTCGTGTGCCGAATCTTGTGTACGATGCATATAATATATTTTTAGTAATGAGATGAGCGTTCCACCACCTTTTTTTTCCCAGAAAAAGCACTATGTAAAACTATTTGTGGTTCCTAAACTTGTAACTATCCAGGCTTCTAGTCTTGTAAATAAACTTTGAATGACTTTAATGAATTTGTCAGAGATTGCCGATGCTTTTAATTTTGTGAATAAAACTGATAGAAAAAAACACTATCAAATGTCTTTTTATAAATAATAAAGGTGGCCAATAAATGTTGCCTTTTCCAACATAACTATTTACAAATTAATGAGTGGAAGATCGATATATTGCATAGAACAGGGGTCAGCAACCTTTCAGTGTTGTTGTGCCGAACCTAAGCAGAATCTACTCTATTTTGGTTTTGTCTATTCTACTGAATCATTTGTGATACTCCGAATTTTAACAAAAATCAATCGTCACTGTCGTCATACTTGCTCAACAATTGTTGTCCTCAGCTACCCAAGAAAATATCCCTTTACATTTTCTCAATGGCAAAAGTGATGCATTCCCGTGATCTGCTGACCTCTTAGCCAGGTGATGTCGCACTGATATCAGATTTGATGGCTGAAAAGTCAGTTGTCGCCAGTCACTCTTAGATTAAAGTCATCAAAATTTTTCCCATGTCAGTGCAAATTTCTGTGCTCAATCAGTACTCTGTTGGATTTTCACGTTACTTTCCACTGTGCCTAGAAGAATTTTCTTGATTCAGACCAGTCCAACAATCCAAATCCTCATCCTCAAGATCCTAATCTCAACCTCAATTCGATAATCTAAAATCAAGAATCATTACCATCAATACAGGTTAAGGATGCACCGATTAATCAGTAAGTAATCGATAATCGGCCATTTTCCCGATTAATCGGTATTGGCCATTTTCCCTGATTAATCGGTTTTAATAATCGGCCAATTTTGTATTTTAATATTTTTGTTAGAATGTCACGTAAAAGGCTAATAATAAAAAATATTAAATTTCTGTTATATATTTATTATTTATTACATGACAATCTAAATATTAAAAAAAATTTAACTTAAATTATTTCTTTTATTAATACATATCATAAGGTATAATGTAACCCATTCAAAACTATCTGTTTTATTTAAAGTTTAAACTTTAAATATATAAAACAAATAAAAATTTAATATTCAAACTTTAAAACCCTTAAACTGTAATACAAAAACATGACAATTAACCATTTTCAAAGCTCTTAAATGTTACCTCCAACTCTGAAAATTCTT